TAACTAAATAAAAATTCAAAATTGTAATAAATATTATTTGTAATTCAAGAAACATTTTAATTTCTTACCTTAATCTGAAGCTGCAAGAACTTGACATACTCAACAGCCTCTTCAAGCATTGTGCTGATATCAACCTTAGTTCCATTAGGGACTAGGTTTTGCAACACTCTCAATCTCTCATTTATTCTTTCTCTTCTTTTCTATAAGATTTACCAAAACAAAAATTATCGTCAATTACATATAAATGAATCGAAAATCTAATCACCAAATACAAGTTTCTATCGTATAAAATTCTACTATACCCGATTATACTTTGGCCTCGTTTGGTAACTAAGATGAGATTAGCCAATATAAGATACTTGGCTCAAAAAAAGTTACTAATTTGACCAAAGTTCGAATAAAGTCCAATTATTTAGTTAATCATGACATATATGTCCTGCCAAACGAGGAATTTACGAATACAGTTCCACTTATGCAATGAAATATATAGAATTTGCAATAGAAAATTCGCTATTATTCAATTCTCTGAAGAAAATTACCCTAGCATAGAGGCTCTGGGGATCGGTAGCTGAACCCCTGCCGGCCCGCGTCTTTTCGCTTACGCTGAGAGACGCGGGCCCGCTTCCCTTCGAGCATAAGCCCGAAGCAACTCCTTTCATTTCATGTGAAACAATCGAATTATCTTCCGAACAACCCACACTTGAGCTCTGCCTGTTAAGCACTGCATTGCTTTTGTTATTGTTATTGTTATTGTTATCTTCTTCGTCATCATCAAACTTTCTACAATTCTTCGTCTTCATGCTTCTCTTGCTTCTTTGAACCTATGTTTGTATAAAAAAGAGATAATAGTAATAAGAAACTTGAAGAATTATCCTTGTTATTATGAATCACAATTTAATACATATACTACACTAGGTGAAATACGTCTGGTGCTGGCCAAATATTTAGTGTTGAACGTAAATTGTTATGCAATGCAATAAAATTCCTAATAAAGAACTGAAAAAAGGGTTTTATTCATCGTTTCGGTCTAGTGCACACGTAAAGCGACTGCAATATATATCCCTCTTACTATTAATTACCGTCAATTTAATTCGACTAATTAAGAGTTGTGTTAACATCAACAAAAATTGTGAAAAATACGATAAAAACAGCATTAGAATTGTAAAAAGACAAATAATTATAAAAAAGGGGGTTTATTCCAAAAGGATAAATAAATAATAATTTGGTAATTACTTACTTCTCCATTGATGCGAGTTCGTTTCTTGGATATCTCACAAGCCTTCAACGGCTGCTCTGGCATTAGCAATTTCTGCTCCATCGGTTTCTCATCGGAGTACTCCATAGCATCGCCGCCGACGTCAGGATTCATGAATTCATGATACCCTTCCATCGCATTACCGTTGTTCGGGCAGTAAATATGATCCATCGCCACCAAATTATTATTACTATTCCCGAAAAATTGATGAGAAACACTACTGCCAGGATAGTAGCACTCCTGGCTATTATTGCTAGTAGCACTCCAAGAGGAACTATACATGCTAGCAGTATTATTATTATTGTTATTGTTATTGTTATTATTAGTTTCTTCCGGAGAATACATGGAACCATCACCTGCAAAGCCCGTATTGGATTCGTAAATGGGCCATGCAAAGCCCGTACTCGATTCGTTCGGAGTCGAACAGCTACCGAGCAGTTGTGCCATGAAATCCGCTTCGTCGGAACACATCCCGATGAACGTAGAGTTCCATTCGCCTTCGGAAATCGTTCCCACAGAAGCTTCCATTTTTTTTTTTTAATTAATTAATTTTTAACTGTAAAAAGGGAAGCTTGGAGATGTTGGAATGAACATGCTCAAATATTTATACTCTTAGGAGTGATTAAATAATCCAAATTAAATTAAACATATACTATAATATAATAAAATAAAATGTTTTAAATAATAAAAAGACAAGCTGTTAATATCTTTATGTACAACTAAGAGAAGACTTGGTTAATTAGTATATATGTAGCCCTTGGGAGCACTTGAAAAACAGATTAGTGAGATGTGGATTGTGGTTTAATTAATCACGTAGTAATGATCACTAATCATTTAATTAGTAGATCAACCATAAAATGATTGAGAAACTGGTAACAGATTAATTAATTAATTAATTAATTAATTAGGGGTGAAAAGGTCAAGATCTTTAATCCAAGAACTAGGGTTGAGATATGAGGAAGGTGTGGGATAGATAGGGAATTAATTATCATGACACCTGGCAATCTGGACTACGTGCGTGTCTTTTTCAGAATAACATTAAAACATTTTTTGGCTTAAATTAATTATAAGGAAAATGACATGTAATAAATTAATAATACTAGATGTGGAGCTGACTCTGATGTATGTATGTTCTTATAGGAAAGACAAAATAAAAATAAATAAAAAGTGTCTGGAATAGTCCCAACAGACATAAAAATCTCGTACCAACTTGGCCCTTGTCTCTAATTTATATGAAGAAAACTGTGTGAGAAGAGGAAATTCGATTTTCTACCGACGGTTTCTTAGATAGTGATGTAATTAGTAGGATTTTTGTCGGATTTTATCGAGCTCGTAAACCTTAATCAGATGATAATTTTGATTAGGTTTGTGGCGGGGGAGCCGGTATATATAGGGCTCCGCGGAAAAGTTTTAATGCATTCGACGACGCCTACGAATTTAGAATCATGTTTCCGGCCGCTAGTGGGTTTGTTATATAGCGTACACGGTGAAGTTAAACAGTCTTATATATATATCATACATGTGTATCGTATATACGTATTGTATTGTATGTACGTATGTATACATATGGTTGTGATTGTGTGTAAATCGTAAATAAAATATTATTTAGTGTATTTCAGCCTGTGTAGCATCCATCTACAAGGTCTTTGAGATTATTGTTGAGTAATTATCTTTGTAAAATTATTCCGTAAATCCGAATTGGATGCAGTATTTAATATTTTGAATACATTTTGTGATCTATTGTTTTTCATAATCTACAATTAGTGTTGTGATGAACACAAATGTAACCTAATAGAATAGCTTATGAGTTGTCTAATTAATTATTCTTTTTTAACATAATATATATACTATAATTGTTATTTTTTTAGAGATTGTAGCAATTAGAAACAGAGTGGCATTAGCTGTGAAATTAGAATTTAAAAAAATATATATAGAGGATATATTAAAAATAAATAAAATTATGGCAAAAATGTCATTTTCACCATTTTCCTCTTAGGTGATCGATAGAAATTTAAATATTCATGAAACAACAAATTCTAAGACCTTCATTCGAATCAAAGAGGATACATAAATTGAAACATTACACCATTCTTTCGATCACTTTCGGTCGGACATCTAAAAGAATACAGGATTGGAATCGGCGAAAATTGAATTTTTTTTTTTATTCAACTATAATATAAAATAAATAATATTGATACTATTAAGTGTGTTTTTTGGAAAAAAATATATTTTTGGAATTATTTTTATAAATCAAAATTAAATCGAAAAATTAAATATCACGTGCGCAAATTACAATAAAAAAAAATTGGATTTTTTTTTTTTAAATTGGAACGAAAAATATCATTGTTTGAATAATTGGTAAATGTTGGTTCTAAATAGGCGGAATTCGAAAATCCTGTTCCGATTCTGAATAAATTGCATAACATCTCAATCAAGATTATTTCAAATGGATATGAAAAGAAAACTCTAAATTGAAAGTGTCTTTAAACCCCACAAAAAGGACAAGAAAAACAAGAGAATTTTGAAAGAAATTCTCAAATGTATGGAGAAAATGTGATGTATCTTATATTAATTAAAATTATATACATGTATAGTCAATTTTTTTATATTTTCTTTTTGGGTTCATTAAATTACAATAAAATATTAATTAGTAAAATAATAATTGATTAATATTTATTGGAGAATAAAATCGTTTTTCCACAAAAAATATTAACCCCAAACACGTCCAGGAAAACCCTAGAATAGCAGGCAGGGGTGGTGAAGTTAGGGTTGGGTGGGGGCCAAAACCCCCCCATGATTCTTGCCATCTTAAACACGCGTCGAATCACCATCACCCGGATGTTTGCTTCCCTGTAAAATCTCCTCTCTTTTCTTTTCTTTTTTAATAATTTATATTTATTTTTTTACGTAATATTAATTAGGGTAAATTACAAAAACCTCCCTCAACTTAGACTAAATTATGAAAAAAAAAACTTCATATTCTTAATTACCAAAATCCGTCCAATGTTTGTTTCCTTCTTACACCCACCATCTTATGTTGTAATCTTGCACGGAATTTTTTTTATTTCAGGGAATATTTCCCGGAAAAATATCGATTCCACCTCTAAGAACAGTTTCTTAGATGTAGGTGCCATTGATATACCTTCTGCAATAACCTCATTATCTGCAAGGTAACATCACATTTGACATTGCAGCATCACTACACTTTCTGGATTGCTAGTATGAACCATCATAGCATACATAGGCATTTATTAAACATTTTTGCATGGCTACCTTCACTTTGTTTGACGTTTGTAGGGGCATAATCGGTATTTTTTGGGATACATTATATGGAATAAAAAAGATTCCATAAAAAATCACACTAATAAGGAAGTCGATCAGTGTACATTGGGGAATTCTGTAATCACTGATAAGTGAAGGTGTTTTACATAATTTAGTCTAAGTTCAGGGGTTTTTAATAAATTACCCTAATAAGTATTATTTATGCATAAATTGACGACAAATATTTGAATTATGTACAATTCACCTGATGTATCTGATTTGGTGGGACTAAACAATAATACACAACACACGTCTCATTATTTCAGATAATTTATTTCAGTTAATTTTTTAAAATATTCTATAAAAGGCAATATATATTTATCTAGTTAGTGCAATAGTATCTAAGAATTATATATATATACACATAATTTATTTTTTGTGTGAATAATATAAGATGACAATTAATCAATTATGCGAAGTAAATTAAAAGCTATGAATCAGATTGCAATGTTTGTTTGTTGTTAGGTGTCGAAAATATTCTTGACCACCCAGCACGTTTGGTTTTTTTTTTTTTTTTGCATTATTTCTGTTATCTTTCCATTATTAGCTCCCTATTAAAACAAAATTCTTTTTTTTTTTAAATCATAAAAATATACATTTAGGTGTTAATTAATATTAAATATAGTGTCTTATACAGCACAATTTTTTAATGGTGGCTACAAATTATATATTACTTGGAGTTTGTTGGCACAAGTAACCCACATTGAAGAACCATTTTTTGTAACTCATTCATCAAATTGGAAGTTTGGACTTTTGATTTAAGCTTTTTTGGGTTCAGAATCACTTTTGAAGTGTTTGTAATACCAATGTTTGTTTTTATTTTTCTAAAAATAAACTGTTTTATAAGTGCAAATGTAAAGGTATATCTGGACAAACTTCTCTTAAAATAAGTTGTTGGATGGAGTTTGTAAACGTGCTCAACTTTTAAAAACAAGCACTTATCGTTGATTTAACTCACAATCACCAGCTTTAATTTTTCTAATTTTTTTTGCAAAACCACCTAAATCCTGAGAAATCAACACAAGGTAGCCCGTTGGAAAGCACATTGCACCTAGAACTTATCTTGATCATGGGGTCGAGCACCATGAGAGGAATTGAGGAACCAACAATTATCCTTCTTTATTGAAAGAAAAAGAAAAAAAAGAGGGGCAAAATACTAAAAACTCCTAGTTAAAAAAATGGGTAAATTACAACCACTCCTAAGGTATGGCCAAACTACAAAAAAACCCCTCTTGTTTGGATAATTACATCTACCCTACAACTATGAATCTTCTTACACCTCCACCCGTATGGTGTCAAATTCAACATAATCATCTAGGTTTCGTGGAATGTGTTCTAGTTTGTACTTGTTTTGTGTACAAATACAGTTTATGATGCACCACGATCTGATATATATACAAGCCAAAAAACACATTTTATGATCATCTTGCTTCAAAATGTGGAGTTCGAATAGGATAAAACGGGTACAAAAGTGATAATATTTCATAGAATCAAGAAGATTCAACTAAATCTGAAACCGCAAGGGTGGACGTGTAAGAAAATTTATAGTTGAGGGGTTGTTGTAATTACCCAAACAGGAGAGGGTTTTTCGTAATTTTGTCATACCTCAGGGGTGGTTGTAATTTACCCTAAAAAAATAGATAAAATGGATAAAGGATAAAAAAAACATCGCCATCTATTTGTAATTACCAAAATCACCCTAACTTTTGTTTTCGTTTTACACCGACCCCCTTAGGGTGTAATTTTTCACATAATATTGTTGAGTCCATGGAATATCGCCCGAAACATGTTGATTCTACGCCTGCAGACGTGACATCTTTTTATGCTACTTTTCGAAAGACAAAATTACCCTCAGAGGGATAACGGTAAGATGCATACAAACATCGGGGATTTTTGTAATTTAACCTAAGTTCGGGTTTTTTTTTTCATAATTTACCCTAAAATAATTTCCAAATACAACCTTTAGGTATATTTTCCCTACAAAAGTTAAAATTTATTATCAAATATTCAAAAAATAAATTTAAACTAAGAATCCTTAATTTAAAAAGAGAAATTAATTCCAAGGACTTCGTCACTTTACTTTTTCCCATTCTTTAATTTGAGATGAATAGTCTAACTACTTATTATTCTCTCTTTATACATAATATTTGACATATTTAATCTGTTCCTTACGAGAAATGAATATAGAGATGGCTTCTTAATCTTTCAATACTAAGAAGTGGCATTTTTAAAGTGAAATCAAAAGAAAAATAATACATTTTATAGTAATTAATTTCATATTAAATCAATTAGGAAATTTATATATTATTTGACCTCTAATTTATTATATATAAGTCGATGGGTAGGAGCGTGTGGACTGTGGACACTTACCAAAATATTTTAATTAACTTGTATACGAGTCGCCACATTAGACTTTGGGGCAGAGAATAATTATTTAAGTACAAATACATGTATGTTAAATGTACAAAATATTGTTATGCAATTGACAAAGTACAATTTATTGAGTGTTTGCCTAAATTTATAAGCTGTTAAAAAAAGTTTATAAGATGTTTAAGAGCTTAAAAGCTCTTCTTAAGTGTACGATAATTTTTTAACGAACTTATAATGAGCAAAGATAGCTTATAAGCTCATTATCCAAACACTTTAAAAATTAATTCTAAAAATAAGACGTAACGTAACAACTTAACAACTCTTAAAACAACTTATCAGATATAATTAAGAGTTTATCAGCTGTTTAAAATAAGTTTATCCAAACAGAACCTTAGTGTTTCACTTTTTGTTTTTTTTTTTACTTTTATAGTTTCATATATTAGTAAATGTCAAATTAATTTGTTCGGTTGCGGAGTTTAGAGAGTGGTTCAAGCATAATCGAATATTGTGGATGCGTAATGAACTAACCTTTCGAACTTTTCAACCGAATCTATCTATCAGATAAACTACTTAATACACGAGTAAATAACAAATCCACCACTAGTGTAGTCAAAATCCATATAAAATGTTGCTTGTATTTTCAAGTTTGTAATATATAAATGTGTAGTATATTGAAATATATATACAAATATTAGCAAACAATGACTTTGTTAGGTATTAAATTATTAATACATTGAACTAAATTTATTGTCTTGATAATAAGGTTAGTTGACTTTGCTATAGTAAACTGAGTTCATGTTCTTCCCATTATAACTACTACTAAACTATGTGCACCAAAAAAACAATTGTTACATTTTAAGGATATTCCGAATATCCATTTGATTTAAGTTATAAATCAAAAGACATGGAGTTCCATTTATTGGTACAATTTCCTTGATTAGCTTAATTCATAGGCTGACTTTTGCATGTTTTATAACATCAAAAGAAATTGTCCACAAAATTCTTAAAGTAAAAAAAAATAAAAAAAAAAAAAAAAAAAAAAAGGTAAATTTTGGAAAGATTTAATCCAAATTTGTGAATGTTGATCATAATTCAAAAGACAATTGCAAATAATAGTCTTGTAGATGTTGCACTTTGTGAAAAATAAATGATAGTTTTTCACCTTTGATTTACACATAATCATACATATGTACATGTGGATGTAAAAATTGTCGGGGTTAAATAAAAATCTGCGTAAATAATTGAATAATAATTGCTCTTACTCGAAAGTAAAAGTTAATTGAAAATACGAAAAATGACAAATCAATTGAGGCTTGCAAACGCAATGTCCTTTAGACAATATTTTTGGGTTGTTGTGCAGCAGTTTCTCCCGTTAGTCTCCCAAGATACAACAATCGGATACTTTGAAATATTAGAATGAATTTCTTAAGCGTCTTGTTATATCTATGCAAAACTGATCGGTCTTATTTGTACATATTTAAGAGCATTTTCTGAATGTATATATTGTTTGTAAAGAGTTATTTCGTAAATATATGTGTTGTTTAGGAAGAAACTCATTCATTCCCAAGACTCAAATTTTGAAAATACCCTAATAATTTTTTTCACATTAAAATTCCAACAAAAATATGTATTGATCAAAGTATAATCCTTTAAATTTCACTAGCATAAAACTTATAAATCTTATTTATAGATATTTAAGAGTCTTTTCTAAATGTATAAATAAATAAGGGTTATTTATATGCTATATCGAGTGTATTTCACCATGTGTAACATATAATAAACCGTAAATAAGGCCGAGTTTAATTTATTAATTGGTGCAATTTATTTGAGTAGCTTCTAATGATACCTTAAGTTTGGACAATGGTAGGTGTTCAAAATATTAATTAAGAGAGATGCTCCATATTTAAGAAAATCCCCCACCCCACGTATGCTTAATTATTGCAAAGTTATAAGGTTATCAATTTGTTAAGATCAAATTATAACTCACTAACACGATCATGATTAGCACTAATGATCACAATTCAATATTAACGGCGCCAGTTAAAATAATAGAAAAAACTAATAATAATTAAATTGGATATGTTGGGTGTTCAACTAATTAAATTGGCCCATTTAAAATTTTTATTTTTATTTTTATTTTTATTTTTATATCAGAAAGAAATGAAAAAAAAATGACATGTTCATTATTTAATCATTTAATGGAATATAGTCATATACAGCTAGTTAGCCGAAAATAGAGAAAAAATCTCTTAAAATTGTAACAAATTCGAACTCATATTAAAACGTAACTATTGCATACGTATTTATATTTTATATCCTTAACAAAACTCGAAAAACTAATTAACCAGGGAAAAGAAAATTGAAAAATGACAACGGTGAAAACGGTGAAAACGAGTTAAATTATGTATTATATCTATGTTTTTTTCATATAAAAAGGAAAGTTTAGAAATTATTTTATAAAATTCCGTGTCAATAATAATCCGTTATTTATTCCAATTTTCAGTTTAATGGATTATTATTGAAAATTGGAATATGGGAATTTAGAATAAAATGGTTTATTTCAATATTCGAAAATTCCTTTTAGTACAAGATATGGATTTGGGTACTACATAGGCCCATAATTGAAGCCCAATTTACCTTTTGAAAAATCATTTGGGTTTGGTTGGGTTTCGGAAATATGATTAGTCAAAGTATTATAACATTATATTTATTTTTTATATGATTATTAATATAAATTTTCATTAAGTAAATGAACGATTTTTTTTTTAATTTTTTTTTCATTAAGCAAACTAAATAAATTTCGTAAAACTTATAAAACTTTCATATTTAATAGGTAAAATAGCAATTACCGTGATTTGAACTTTGTGCACGTGCCTACCTTGTACTTTTAATATAGCAGATGACCCCCTTTTATCTTAATATAAATTGCACATAACCCATTATCAAGTGGAATACCATAGGGGGCTTATGTGCTTATATGAAAAGTATAAGGGGGTCATATGTATAAAGTTCAAACTATAGCGCATCATGTGCTTATATTGAAAATAAAAGGGTGTCATGTGAAATATATCAAACCACAGGGGGTTAAGTGCTATTTACCCTATTTAATAATACACTTTTGAGTAAATTACGAAAAACCCAATGAAATTAGACTAATAACGAAAAACAACCTACCTATTCGGTAATAACCAAAACCCCCCTTCTAAGGTAACTGTTGATCGAGTTTTTTAAATGAAAATTTGTATAGTCTACTATACTTTATGTTAAATATGTGAGAAATAAAAGAAAATATCTGAAATTATGTAAATTGTACTCCCTAATGTAAAATTAAAATTCCGTGAAGAATCACACCGTAAGGGGTTGGTGTAAGACGGAAACAAACCTAAGGGGGTTTTTTGGTAATTATGAATGTGTGGGGGGTATTTTTCGTTATTTAGCCTAAGTTCAGTGGTATTTTCGTAATTTACCCTACACTTTTCCCCCAAAAATACAGAGAGCGGAGTCATAAGTTTGGTGCCTTTGAATTTGAATTCCCGATAGCGGCGGACGCCACCACTCCTCCTCCCGTACTCCGCCCCCTTGTCAAAAAATCTCTAAATCTTCAGTTTTTACGCACTACGCTCAGTGAATTAAGTGAATCATGTCGGCGGCGCCTCCACAACCACCGGGGAGAGAGCTGTCGAACCCTCCGACGGACGGCATTTCCAACCTCCGTTTCTCCAATCACAGCGACCAACTCCTCGTTTCATCCTGGGACAAGGTCACCATTACTCTTCTGAAAGTTCCTCGTTTTTTATTTCCCTGATTTTGTGTCGTTTTTCGTTTTTTGAATTTCCTAAAATTATTTGCTTAGAGTGTTCGATTGTACGATGCGAGCGCAAATGCGCTTATGGGTGAGTTCATGCACGGAGCAGCCGTGCTGGATTGTTGCTTCCACGATGATTCCTCGGGATTTAGTGCTTGTGCTGATCACACTGTTAGAAGGTGATTTCTGAGTTTTTATTGCAATATTTTTTTTTAATTATTAGCTTTTATGTCGTTTTTGGTTCTCAATCTCATAATTTTATGTTAATTCCTTTAGATTGATTTTCAGTTTAATTCCATTTCGGCTTCTGTGATATAATTGGTCACATGTGTGATCGGATCGAGACTTGTTTATTAACATAATTACTGATTTTAATTTTTTTTTTATGTGTATGTGCTCCAGGCTTGTGTTTAACTACAACAGAGAGGATATTCTGGGTAGGCACGATGCACCCGTTCGTTGTGTTGAATACTCGTATGCAACTGGTGGGTATTCCATAAATTTCCTTGCTACTGTCCTATGTGAATCTATTCTTATTTCTCAATCTGTTATATTTGCTGAACAGTTGGAAATTCCAAGCGAATTCCTAAGATGATGTTCTTAATTTCGCTCAAAAATTTTGAAACCCTGAAGGATTTTGATACCATTTAACTCACTTTCCGATATTGGTTTGCCACTGTTTTATGTTGTTAGTAAGTACTGAATGATATCGAGGTCTAAGTGATTGTTAATATATATCGTATTTGGGTGTTATTACATGCTTCTGAGGGATACAAAATTGAACGAGCAATACGTGCAAAAAGTTAAATAGTTGAATAGTTAATAGAAAAGTCGATGTCATATACTTGTTCAGCCATTAAATTCACTGAGAACTTATGTGCTCAGAAAATAGACTTTAACATCTATAGAACATCCGTGTTGCTCCACTACCTTTTTTAGTATGGAGTTTAACTTTTCGGTTCCTCCCATAGTGAATTTAAAAGTTTTGCTGACATCATAATATATATAGGAAGAATAGAATAGGAGAAAGAGAGAAATAATAATACGTAATAGAATAGAAACCCCATTGTGTTATGGGTTGATTACATGGAATATATATAGAGAAATAATGCTAGGTAACAGAGTTTGACTAGGTAACTAAATCCTAACTAATCTAGGTAACCGAATCATACTAGAATCCTAATATTACAAGAGTTCTATAATATAATATTCTCTAACACGCCCCCGCAGTCGAAACGTGACGAACGTGAAGACTGGACAATCACTTGCTAGCACGCTCCCGCAGTCGGAACGAATATACTTCAAACGTGAAGACTGAAGACTGGAAACTTCAAACGCGAAGACTGGACAGTAATCGCGCTAGAGAATTCCTTTGTAGAAATATCTGTCCAATTGATAAAAAATAATAATAATAATAATAATGGGTGAGAATAATAAGCACTTTTTTTTTTTTTTTTTTTTTTTTTAATTATCGAGATAGAGAGAAGAGATGAGAGATGAGGGAAGAGAAGAATTCAAAGAAAGATAGAGAAAAGAGAGAGAGAAGAGATTAACCGACTGGGAAGAAGAAGATGTCGGAAAATAAGAAGAAAAAAAAATATAAGTTACCACCACCGGGGGAGGGAGAAAATTGGGGTGGTGGTCGCCGGCCATGGAGAAGAAGAGAGGCGGCGGCTAGGTTGTAGGCCATGGAGAAGAAGAAGAAGAAGAAGAAGAAGAAGAAGATGATGCACCACCGGGGGAGGGAGAAAATTCGGGTGGTGTTCATAGAAGATAGAAAAGAAAAAGAAAAAATATTAGATCACCACCACCGGGGGAGGGAGAAAATTGGGTGGTCACCGCCATGGAGAAGAAAGGCGGCTAGGTTAAAAAACCTGGAGCTCTGATACCATATAGGAAGAATAGAATAGGAGAAAGAGAGAAATAATAATACGTAATAGAATAGAAACTAATCCTAACTAATCTAGGTAACCGAATCATACTAGAATCCTAATATTACAAGAGTTCTATAATATAATATTCTCTAACAATATAATTAACATTTTGCATCTCGTACGTTGGTATTGCATCTATCAGCCTGTTCAAAAATCATTTGTTTTTCTCACTACGAGAGTTTTGGCAATGAACTAAACCTTTTATCAGATAACTAACATTGTTTTGCAGCATTTGTAGTATAAATTTGAATGTACTGGCAATTTAATAGTTTCTTGTGCGTGAGAATCTATCACTAATCTGCGACCAGTGGCAATGTAGTGAACTTATTATTAAAAACCTTTGTTTCTATTTCTCTAATTCTTTAGGACAAGTGATCACTGGTAGTTGGGACAAAACCTTGAAGTGTTGGGACCCACGAGGTACAAACGGCCAGGAACGCTGTCTTGTCGGAACTTACACTCAACCTGAGAGGATATATTCAATGTCACTTGTTGGAAACCGTTTGGTGGTTGCTACTGCTGGAAGACATGTGAACGTGTATGATCTTCGAAACATGTCTCAACCTGAGCAAAGGAGGGAATCTTCTCTGAAATACCAAACTCGGTGTGTCAGATGTTATCCTAATGGGACAGGTAATAGTTTCTCAAATTACTATCCTTGTTTAGCTATTTTTTCCTAGTGATTTACGGTGCATTAACATTTATTTTCTAGAAATTGGCTAATTCCGTATATATTGCAGATATAAAAAGTAGTTTGGATCCAACTAAGATTTTTTATACTTCAACCAGCAAATAATTAATTTTTGGGTGTTATTATTAATTTTATTTTTCACGAGTGTTATTTTCCTTTGTTATTGTAACTTGATTTCCAGGCTATGCTCTTAGTTCTGTTGAAGGAAGGGTTGCAATGGAGTTTTTTGATCTCTCCGAGGCTGGGCAAACCAAAAAGTATGTATCAAATTAAAATTGCGGTATATGGGTTGTTATAGAATTACTATATATTATCTTCTGATCATTTGAAAGACGTGACAATTACATTTATAACAATTACGGAAGTATGTGACAGTTCACTTCAGCCTAGCATGTCTTTTAATTTGTGTACTGATGTCCACCTCGTATCATTTTTATCAGTATTTCTGGAAGGGAAGGATTTCAAGTCCATAATAACAATCCATTGGACTCGTTTGGATTCATTTAACAATGGATTTCTAATCCTTAGCTCTCATTTTATGCTATTCTTTGAGTCAATGTGGTGGATTTCAAATCCATTTCATTTTCGAGTCATTTGGAATTCTTCCTCAAATCCAAATCCTTCAATCCAAATGCACCCTCAGTCTCTTTTTCACAAATAACTGACAACATTAAAGAGAACTGATTTCATAATTATTTACATAATTTTGCAATTTTTGCGCAACTTTCTCTCAAACTCTAATATTTCCCACTCTTGTTGATGATACTATGGGCAGGTATGCATTCAAATGTCATCGGAAATCGGAAGCAGGAACGGATATTGTCCACCCTGTGAATGCAATTGCCTTTCACCCTATGTGAGTTGTGTTTTAGTCTTTGTATAACATCCCCGCATCTCTAATCATCCAAAATAATTTGTCAAAAAATGCCAAAAAGTAATATATATATATATGTAGTGTTAAAAGTTAGAAGCATTCTTGAATTAGCATGTTTTGAAAAATCCATTTGAAATCATTGCATTTTTAGATAAATCCTATAATATAAAAACGAGATTATTGGTGAGAAGAGACTTAATATCTTTGTGCTAAAAAAAGCTTGTGCTTCTAACTGTTTCTTACTCGATAATGGTGTGTGTAGCTACGGCACTTTTGCAACAGGAGGTTGTGATGGTTATGTTAACATGTGGGACGGAAATAATAAGAAGCGATTGTATCAGGTAAAATATGCTTATTATGACCTCAGTTTCACTTTCTTTTTATCATGTTTTGATGAGTTGTTGCTGAATTTTTTATTTATTTTCCTATGTCTGCTCCAACTTGGTCATTTTAAAGTATTCGAAGTACCCAACAAGCATTGCAGCTCTGTCCTTCAGCAGAGACGGTAGACTTTTGGCCGTTGCTTCGAGTTATACGTACGAAGAGGGAGATAAACCGTGAGAACCCCGCTCTCTCTCTCTCTCTCTCTCTCTCTCTCTCTCTCTCTCTCTCTCTCTCTCTCTCTCTCTCTCTCTCTCTCCTCTCTCTCTAGATCTCTCTCTAGATCTCTCTCTCTCTCTAGATCTCTCTCTAGATCTCTCTCTCTCTAGATCTCTCTCTGTCTCTCTCTCTCTAGATCTCTTGTAAGTAGTTTGATGAATTTTGCAGGCACGAGCCAGATGCCATATTTGTGCGTAGTGTGAACGAAGTAGAAGTTAAGCCAAAGCCAAAAGTGCTTCCCAGTCCTGCAACATGAGCAAGACTTGGTATATTTGTCATATGTTTGAACATTTGTCTCATGATTGTTATTATAATCACTGTCTCGTTGATTACTCTAGTTTTTGATGATGTAGTTTTCGGTTTGATGGACTCGAAACTTTGTATGAACATTATTTTAGAACATGACTAAGTAGAACATGATTGTCGTTGCTGCTACAGTAACCAACCATGTTTATTAAGCAATTACATTTCTCGTTTTTGTGATCAAGATCCTCAGGGCTTGTCCATTCTTGAGAAAATAGATTGTTTTGCGTTTGTGATGTCGTGAAATTAGTCCGTATTGCGGTTGCGGTGTTTTGATAAGTATGTTACAATAGAGTAATACGAATGTGAAATTTGATAAAAATGACAACATATTATACTTTCACAGTATGATTTTGTTTGATAAGGGGATAAAGGTAAGCAATAAATCACTATTCCTTCTACATTACCCCATCATGTACATAGTATTTTCAAGAACTTAATTTAGCACCATCAGACATAAGGTTGAAGATTTTTTGCTTTGTATTTTGTTCATACGATTACAGACAAATTTTCCAACTAACCACGAGAATCATCGTACCATCCGAATCATGGCTACAACCTTCCTCTGTCTGAACAAAAATATATCTATATGTTGTAAACTTTTACCTAAAACCGGAGGGAGCTGCTTGTGGGCCAACTCCACCAGCCGATCTTCGCATGGCTTTCGACTGAGCCAACAAATCCTCGTAATTCTGACAGAGTAAATAACAATCAAGGCTTAGAACATGGTGAAGAATTGTATGTATGCACGTAATATTTTATTTTTATTTTTTAATGAAGAATCATTTGTACCCGTTTCTCAAAGGCTGCATCCTGGGAATCAATGATTTTGTCTGCAACACCGTATGCGATTGCCTCCTTGGCTTGGAAGTACTTGGGCCGTTGGATGTCTTTCTCAATCTCTTCCTTGGGCTTTCCTATTCCTTTGGACAATAGCTCCAAGTAATACTCTGTGTTTGCATCTAGCTCTTTTGCCTGAGTCAATCAGAAAAACACATAGGCTCAAACATTATACATAATATGTATGTATGTATGTGTCTGTCTATATATACACAACACACACACACACACACACACACACACACACACACACATATATATATATATATATATATATATATATATATATAGAGAGAGAGAGAGAGAGAGAGAGAGAGAGAGAGAGAGAGAGAGAGAGAGAGAGAGAGAGAGAGAGAGAGAGAGAGAGAGAGAGAGAGAAAGGACCTTAATCCACATATCAATGACAGCTCCACTCGATCTGTTGACTTTCGGAAGATATAGTTTCGCTGCAGTACAAACCAATCGACCATGATTTCAAAATTCAGCAAACAAAGCGGTTTACTAAAGTGTATTGCCATTGCACATCGAGGATTCAGAGTGATTATTACCTAATATATAATTAACAGATAAACAACAAAAGTACAATTATCTTATATCTTTATATCTTACTGGATGAGTTTGGCTGCAATGCACGATAGCCTTTTGCTCCAAGAGCCAGCAGCATAGCTGCTTGACCGTATGCCATTCCACAATTTACAGTATACACATCTGCTTTGCAGTACTATTGCCGGAACCAAAAAAAAGAATATATAAAAATAAAATAAAAAATAAAAATCAATTTTGTATATATAATTTGCTTCTACTTTTCATATATGAGTGAGAAAAAGTACAAGCCATGTTGTATAATCAGGAGGCTTACAGCCATAGTGTCGGCAATTGCATATGCTTCTGTTTCAGATCCAACAGTCTCCATTTTCTCATTCTAGGAAAACAAAAAACGGATAAGAAAAAACAATTATTAACAATGATTAGACTACCATCGAAAGGTGATCCTTAAACTAGAGACAATTAAGTGTATATGGGAAAGAAAAAACTACGTGAGAAGGATTACCTGTGTGCCAGATGAGTTGATGTACAGATATATCGGCTTTGTCGGGCTGTCATAATCCAGCCACATAAATTGAGCAACAAGAAGCTCAGTCACAGCAGGTACTATCTGTATAACCGAGCCAAAATAAGTCACGATGATTAAAATAGAAACGTGCTATTTCCACTCTCAAAATATCTTATTTCACCACCAAATTAAAATATTTCCTATTTTACCCCTTCTTCTTTCACCCATATTCTGTACAATTCATAAACCGTCCACCACTAAACTAATTAAATATTTATTAAAAAACTCCAGCATTTTTCAAAAAAAAAAAAAAAATATGTTACATAATCTGCAGATCATCTGATATGAAAGTTTAAATATCTTGTAATAGAAAAAAAAACCTAGGACACATGAGGATTAAGCGAATATAAGAAAGAGTAGTGGTGGATTAGAAATTTGAGGGGTATTTATAATGTTATATATTTTTTGTGGTGAATTGAGATACTTTGGAGGTGGAAATAGCACCGCTCTAAAAATATTGCAAAAATAATATCTTCTATTAGAGAGAGAAAGCTCCGTACCGGCATGCCGAGGTAGACAATACGGGCATCTAAAAGCAAAGACGGCAAATCAGGAGGAGCAGTTCTAGGCCTTCCGGAACCTCTTGCTCCTCCACGATACATGCTCACGCTCATGCTATATTTAGAGGGCCCTCTTTCGTTCGCGTCAGCCATACTCCACATTCCACCATTATTCAAGTAATTGTTGGCTGATGAGATGGTATCCTACAGAAAACACATAACTAATGTTGTTAGGAGAGAACAGTTTATGAGGTATATCTTGTTTCGTCAAATATAAGGTTTATATGTAATAAAGCAAGAACAATCTGTCGCCCAATTTCTCGACACAGGCTTTGGAAAATTTGAATATAATAGAGCGATTAAAGAGAGAGATTACCTCTGTGACTTTTTCTGCCTGTCGGCGGACAGGGTTATCCTCTGTCATGAACATATCCATCTGTGAAGGTGAAAGACCGTACAGATACTGCGGTGTGTTCTTGAAATTATCCATCACTGTAAAACGAGAGTAGATTCGTTACGACTTTAAAACCTAAATGAATTTCAAGAATAAAGAAGTCTTGAAGAACAAAAGAAAGCAAGGAAAATGTAAATAGATTATACAAGAAACGGGACAACAAAAATACCTCATGTTGATTCTTATCACTGTTTTAACATTTCAGCGTCTCAACATTTAAACAAGAATCAAGGTTAAAAACTACTTACTAACTGCACTGTGTCAAATTTCGACATCAAACCTAAACTCCAAAAGCTTGAGGTTTCGTTGTGTCGGTGTCTGCGGAACTCCACTCAATACTTTAGAACTCAAAATCGAAGTTCACAATTCAGAGATTATAGCATTTAAAGATCACACATAACAATATTTACAGATAATCTCATCACATTGACCAAAACGGCATTTATTCAACTATGCGACAGCTCATCTCCAACCAGAATCAACGGGAGCACGAGGAATTCGTATAGTTACAAATACGCAAAAAAGTGTTAAAAATTAACACGTAATCGTAAAGGATTGTGAATATCCATTCAATTCATCACTAGTCTTCTCTACTTTCTTCTGAATTTTCACACACACACACACAAACACATATTCATAATAAGGACATGTTCAAAATGAAAAAAATAAACTCCACAAAATAATATCAATTCCCACTAAAACACAAAACAAAAACGAATAATTTAACAACAAAAAAAGCCCCAAATTAAGAATAAAAAAACATGACATACATCCATCTTTGAGATTCTCTTCACGGAACTGCTTGGGTATGTGGTCGAGAGATTTCCGAGCTGCCGGAGACTTGAATCCGCATCTCCGAGCCGCGACTCTTCTCGGATTAGCTGCGAACAGCAGCTTCGGATTCTGAAGAAAAGCTGAAGCAGTAGAATTACAGCAAAGCTCGCGATTATCTATGGCGGTTGTGGATGAGAGAGGTGAGAGTAAGAGCGATGAAGAAGCCATTTTTTTTTTTTTTGGGGCAATGAATTTTCCAAATTGAAAACCACAAAAAATCAATGAAGAAAAAATGATTTTTCTTTAGACGTAGAAGAAAGAAAATCAAGGAATATCTACTCGTTAATGGGCTTTTAACTTATTCAAATTTCAATTCGGCCCAATTTATTTTTTTTTAGTACAATTTGGGCTCATTTTAATTTAGCTGTATATATCTAATGGGCTTAAACCCAATTTAATTTAAATTAATAACCTCAATGTAATTGTTGGTCAGAGAGTTCCGCCGATTTCGATCTGAAAATTATGGATCATGAAAAAAGTTTTTTTCATCACAATTTATGAAATTACTATTTTCAATTTTTACTTCTGAAAAACAAAAGAGATTTGAAGTATCAGTTCCGATCAAATCCGTCTGATTTATGTCCCAATGGGTGAGTGACACTTTTATAACGGCTACATTTGTCGTATGTCGAAAGTTAGCGTTCTCCTTAAATCTACCAAGTATTTTAAAAAAAGAAATTGACAGTGCTAATGGTATTTAGGAAAATTCCATGGGTTATTGCATTTGGCACCCCCTATATTTTTTTCTAGTTATAAAAAATTTAATGTTATTTCATTAGCAAAAGATCCCTACGATTCAATTTTTTAAAGCAAAAGTACCCCTATAAATTCACTTTTTTTTAGGGGTTGTGTGGTTAGAAAAAAATACATTACAAGGAGTTTTTTGTTAATAATTTATAAAATAGTGTACTAAATGTAATAAATTTAAATAAAACAAATTATTAGATCTGCTTATGTTAGAAAATAGGGGTCATTAGCAATACACCCCTCCTATAGATAAAAACTAGTAATATGTCCATACCATAATTCTTTCTTTGTGAAAACCCCCTAAAATATTTATTTCCAATCTTACCCTCTAGTACCTATCACGTTGTTTTTTATAATTATCCAGTATTTTCGAAATCCCTATTAATGAGGCACCTAATCCCGCTAATTAGGCTTAATTATATACTTTCCCTAATAAAACTGCTCCTAATATAATTTATCTCAATTATTCCTTTTTTCTCTCTTTCCATAACAACAATTTAATTCCTAAAAATATGCTTCCAAATTCCTAAAAAAATGCTACCAAATCAAAAAAAAATAATAGCAATAAATCGGATTTTTTTTTTTTTGATATTATTTTCGGACTTTATTTAGTCATTTTTCTATTTATTTTTATTTTTAATATTTTTAATAAAAATATTATTTTAAATTTTTTTTAAACAAAAAAATGAAATTTTTTTCTCAACAAGTTTGCAACGCCGAATATGACTATGGTTGAATATTACTATATGTAACTATAAACTGTAGTCATATTCTTTCTTTATATTGTTGTTTTTTTAGATTTGAACTTAAAAATTCCGATTATATGGCATAGTCATGTTAACCAAATTATATAAAACAACGAAGATTCCCTATTATTTACGAAAACAATTCAATCAACATCCACACAAAAAATCACAATTTGAATCTTGTTATTAGAAGTCAACTTGAAAACGAGAAGATAGAACATATTCAACAATAGTCATATTCGAATATGACTACATTCATAATCGAAAAATACATAAATATGATTATAGTCATATTCAAATATGACTATAGTCATGTTACTACTGCTGTTCAGATCTGAAAAAAAAAATCGAAAAACATAAATAAAGATAGAAAAATAACGAAAGAGAGGGACGGGAGTCGACGAGGCCTTCATACCCAAAATCACCCTGGCATATCTTCATCCCAAACGACCCTCCATACTTCAACACAATCATCAAGGTCGAGGACATGATGTGCAGCACTACAAAAAAACATGAGATGTGACTACTGTGTGAATAATTTTGCTGAATGAATCTGTACTATTCTGTAAGTGCAATTCACATAATATTACGTGAATTCAATTCAGCCACAACAAACACATTGAAACTTACACTAACATATCAAGTAACGCAAAAAAAAAAAAATACAATTCGAATAACAAAATACATAAATACGAGTATAGTCATATTCGAATATGACTATAGTCATGTTGCTACAACTGCATTCTCATGCTCGAACTGCATCTTTTCAAAAATAAAAAATTGACTGATCAACAACAATTGGAATATCAAAATCAAAGACAAATGACCCCAACAAATTTTAAATGGAAAATCTCTAAAAGTTAAGACTAAAAAATGAAAAACAAATCTCACTAAATTGTGATACTTTCACAATTTATATCCGGATCTAGGGGGCACCAAATTCAATCTCCTCCGTACAGTATATAAAAATATATACTCCGAATACTCTATCCAAATTTCGGCCACATCCAACGGTTTAATTGCACGAAAAACGCGTCCAATCTAGCTGCCTTGAATTATTAAGTAACAAAAATCAGTAGCGAGTTTTAAGATTCGATCTATATTTAGAGAAGTCTGATTCCAATCTCCACCAGTCATAAGTTATATTGATGTGTTAAGAGTCCTGTATGAAAATATCAAACCGATCCGACGGTTAGATCTTCCGATCTGGCCTCTGCACGAAAACTGTTGCATCTCAAAAACTTGATTTTTCTCTTCTTTATTCATCCGATCTTCGGAAGGAGAATCGAAACCCGGCGCCGGCGTCGAGTGCGGCTGAGTGGTCTCCATTGGCGAGTGGTGGAGAATATGGGTCTGAAGAAAGAAAAAAAAAAGAGAAAGAGAGAGAAGTTGCGTGAGAAAGAGAGATAATGAAAGAGATATATTGAGAGAATTAATGTAATCGTACAATCACGTGAGACGGTTATGGAAAGTAAATATTGCAATTATTTTAAAAACTACTGATAAGGGTAGTTTCGTCTTATCATACAATTGTTGAAGGAGATTTCACTAATTAAAATTGAACTTTGGATATGGGTAAAAGTCTTACAAGTCAAATGAGTTTAACTCATAATATTTATGGTTTGAGAGGGGGTTTTGCATATTTCCCCTATAAAATATTGAGCTATTGACATTTCTTGTTAGAATGACCATGACATCATACTAGATGTCACAAGCCATCAAATGACATTTGGCCACGTGGCAAAAAAAACGCTAATTACATTCGGGATGCAGCCGCCACGTGTCCATTATAATTAATCAATTAATTAATTTCATTAATTAGCATTTGAAGAACAATAAAAGAACTTCCACGTTTTGTGATTACGTGTCGTGTGGTGGAACTAGGGTAATTAAACAATGAACACGAACGAGGGTATTTATGGTAATTCACGTGCAAGTGAGTGAACACTTGTTTCAGGGTTTTAACATGTATTTTTGTTTTCTTGCAGGTGGGGAAATAAATTCCGTATAATTCTAGAATATGTAAAAGGAAAATAAATATATTTATGGCCAATCATTGCACACGTGGCAATTAGGGCAAATAGGTGTCCTTCTAGAAGACAGATTACCCAATATTCCAAGCTTTGTGATTGGAAATTTCTATTCGGTTACGGTAACTTGGTCGGTCAACGTATTCTATTTTGACTTTCTCTCTATTTTTCTTGTGATAAGGTCCATAAGGATCAATAAAGCTATAACCACAAGTAACAATTGAGTATTGAGGATAATTAAATTAATACATTTTAAAAATTAAAAATTAAAAATTCATGGTAAAATAAAATTGTGAATAATATGAAGGCTAAATTACATTAAACCCCGGGAGTAAGGTTAAATTATAAAAGAAAAAACTTTGGATTTGAGTAATTACAATCACATCTTTAACTATGAATTTTTTTACACGTAAACCTTGTGGTATCAAATTTAGTTTAATATTTTAGATTATATAGAGTATTCTCCAGTTTGTACACGTTTTACCTTATTTGAGCTCCATATATATTGAAATAAGATGATTATAATATGTGTCGATTGACATGAAAATATCAGATTGTGGTGCATGACAAACTGCAATTTCGCACAAAACGAGTACAAACTAGAATACATTCCACGGAATCTAGAACACTTTGTTGAATTTGACATCATACGAGTGGACTTATAAAAAGATTAAAAGTTCAAGGGTGTGGTTGTAATTATTCAATCACGAGGGTCTTTTATGTAATTTAATCTTATCCGAGTGGTGGCCGTAATTTACCCTAATACGAATGACAGTAAACATAAAATCGAATAAAATAATGGATCGAAGTAAAAAAAAAAAAAAAATTGTCATTAAACCAATCACGAAATATGTAATTTGACAACAAATTAGTTAATTAAAGATACAATTCATAGCCTCAAAGTTAAATCAAGGCCGCCTGGGGGAGGCGGCGGAAAGTTCATATCGAAATTCCACCGAACGGGAGCCGCCGCCGAAACTCCGGCGGAGATACTGGAAGCTCCGTCTCCTGATGAGGAAGTGACGCCACTAGTGCCGCCGCCGCCGTCAACCTCAGAAGCACTCCCGCCACTTCTTCCGCCGCCGCCGCGGATAACGCCTGGGTAATGTCTCCGCTTGTGGCCGCCCAGTGCTTGGCCCGACGGAAAACTCTCACCGCACGTGGCGCACGTGTGGAGCCTGGCACCGTTAGTTGGGTTATGACGACCGTCCTCGACGGCGGCGGTGGAATTCTTTCTTTTGTTCGAGACAGCGGCGGAGAGTTTGGTGTGGCCGGTTTTGTGGCCGCCGAGAGCTTGATAAGACGGGAAACCCCTTCCGCATATATTGCACGTGTGGCAATTATCCTGTGACGGCGGCGGGTGATGACCAGTAGAAGGGGAATATTCCGTCTGGTTAACGGCGGCGGAAGTAGAGGGTTCCGTCTGGTTCTGGGCTTCAGCGGCGGAGGAAGAGGGGCCATCGCCTCTTTGAGAAAGAGCGACGAGCAGGCTGGCTATGTACATATCCTCCGACTCATAATTATCGCCGTCATCGCGGCGGCGCTTAGTGGGCGGCGTATTCGCCGCCGCAGAGTTAAAATCTTCTGCGCACATATTTTAACCTTGTGTGGAAAAATTAATATCGAGTGAGTGTGTGTGTGTGTGTGTGTGTGAAGTAGTGTGAGAGTTATAAGAGCGACGAAGGAAGTTCTATTCAT